TGGTCCCATAAGCATATAATAGACCTGAAAAGTTCTTATTCCTTACCTGGTGAAGTAGTAGCTGTTGTAATATTGAAGTACAATGCGTTACTCATGTAGGAGCAATAAGCTATACCATACAGCACCATCTGGGTTTGTGCAAGTACCCTCTCTGATGTTCATACGAGGACAAAGTCACCTAACGATGCATAGAGAACTTGTATATCCCTCTTGTTAAGTGACATATGACTATATATGAATAAAAGTCTGGTCTCACAGAGATATGTAGTTAGAAAAGGGAGAAGTATTTTAATAGCCTTTTCAGATAATTGTGAGTATTCTTCTTTGGTACCACAACAACACTTGACAAGTGGTAGTTTTTCAAGATAGCTGCAATGTGGAATTTGAAACTGTCGAAACATTTTTTGTACTGTACTATATAAAATCCATTGGTCTGTCTTAAACTTTGAATAAATCTTAACCCATGCATGATTTTGTAACATCATACATTGGTCATTTGGAAAATGTTGGGTCATTGAGTTATACAGGTATTTCAAAAGTTTGCACGTTTTATTATGCAATATCAAAACATCCTATTTGTTACCATTACCACCAATCTCATTAGAAAGTTTTTTAAGTATTGAGAAGCAAGCTATCAATCTCATGGTGGAGGATACAGGTTTTCCAAAATTATAGCATTTGCTTGAAGACTCAAATTTTATCATTGGCAGCATATATTGTCAGTTGTTTTCCTTGAAATGGTTGGCTAACTTCATTCTGTTTGAAGAAAGTACCTGCCAAATAGTATCCAAGTCGGAGTAACCAAGGTTTATAAGTCGGCTATTCTTGCAAGTAAAAATGATGGTCCATGAAAAATGGCCAGTTTAGCTCACAACTTGAATGATTGTCCACATTCTCTTTCTTGAGACAACCCAAGAAAGAATTGCTTATGTGCAAAATTATATTTATTTTTCATACTTTTTTCCCTTGGCTTTTCATTGAGTTCATATTAGTCACTTTTTTGCTTGTTTGCTTGCTTGGTTTTCTATATTTTACACAGATTTCCTTGTAATTTCCTCAGAATGGTAAAAGACCTCTCAATACTAGTTTCCTTACTGTTGAATGCAATGGGTAATCTCTTCCATTCCCTCTACCCCCCCACCCCCTGCCAGAGTTACTATTGGAATTTTTGTCCTGTTCCAATCTGGACTGGACCTGATAGTCACGTCTGATGTAGCTTTTCATCACCATTATAATGGAAATTATATTTACTATCTTCCTAAGTTGCGTCTCTTTATAGGATCCTGTGTCTGTTGCCTTTCCTGTCTACTATTTCTGGTGGATTACATCTTCAGGTAGCATCCTGAGAGAAAGGTACATTATGAGATAAACTTTTGGAATATTTGCATACCTGAAAAATGCTTTTATTTGACTGTCCCACTAGATTTATAGGCTGAGTTTAGAATTTTTCTCTCAGAATTTTGTCTTCTAATTTACCTGTTTCTTTTGAGAAAGTTGATATTCTGAGTCCTGTTTCATTCAGTGATACCTATTTTTTCTTTCTGAAAACATTTATAAGCTCCTTATTTTCTCTTTTGTAATGTCACAGTAATGTGCCCAGGTATGGGTCTTACTCATTGTGCAAATCCAAATGGATCCTTTTAGTTTGAAGATTCATGACTTACAATGGAGGTAGAGGGGTTTTTTGTTGTTGTTGTTCTTTGAATATTTTCTCTAATCAGTTTTCTCCTTTTTCTGGAACTAATTTTACTCAGTTGTTATGTTTCCTTGTTTTTTTTTGTTTCTCTAATCAGTTTTCTCCTTTTTCTGGAACTAATTTTACTCAGTTGTTATGTTTCCTTGGTTTTTTTTGTTTTTTCCTTTTTGTCTTTTTTCGTGACTGGTAACGGGATCGCAACCCTCGGTGTCGCGCCCGTACCACAACCGGCAACAGGATCGCAACCCTCGGTGTCGCGCCTGCACCACGCTCAACCAGTGAGAGGACCGGTCTCTATATGGGATCCGAACACTCGGCGGGAGCGCCGCCACACTCCCAAGTGCCGCACTCTACCAAGTGCGCCACCGGGCCGGCCCGTTTCCTTGTTTTATCCTCTGAATTTGTCATAAAAGCTTCAACCAGGAAATGACACTTTTTGCTTATGATCATACTTCATTGGCCAAACAAGGTATCTGGCTGTGCCTGAGTTTGCTAGGGTGAGGCAATATAATGCTTCTGGAGTAAGGAACCCCTGTTACTGGTGAGTGGTAATACAGTCTACTTCATTTTCCTTTCCCTTCTTCTCACAGTCCTAATTTCATTTAAAAATAAGGGCCACAGGGCCAGCCCGTGGCTCACTTGGGAGAGCGTGGTCCTGACAGCACCAAGTCAAGGGTTAAGATCCCCTTACCGGTCATCTTTAAAAAAAACAAAAAAAAACGATAACAATAAAAAAAAATTATAGGAGTTTAGGTTTACAGAAAAATTGAGCAGAAAGTACAGACAGTTCACATGGCCCTTTTTTACCATCCCCCCCCCCCCCGTATCTCCTATTATTAACATCTTACATTAATTAGTGTGGTGCATTTGTAACAATTATGAACCGATATTGATATATTATTATTAACTAAAATTTACATTAGGGTTACCTCTTTGTGCTGTCCAGATCTGTAGGGGTGGCGCTCCCGCCGAGGGTTCGGATCCCACATACAGACCGGTTCCCGCTCACTGGCTGAGCGAGGGGCGGGCGCAGCACCGAGGGTTGCGATCCTGTTGCCGGTCCCGGTCCAGTACGGGCGCGACACTGAGGGTTGCGGTCCGTTGCCGGACACGAAAAAAGACAAAAAGGAAAAAAAAAAAAAGATTATGTTAGTTACATGTTGCCTTTTCACAGTCTTTTCTAATTAAACTTTATTTGTTTCTTGCTTACAAAACCCTGTTACTGTTTTGCTTGTGAAATATCTCATAACCGTGATTGGTTTTAGTGCTTTGCTGTTGTTTGATGTGCCTTGGTTTTATTTCCTCAGAGGAGAGCTTCTTTTTTCTCTTTATTTTGATCTGTCTTTCTTGTTGGTTGGGTTTCTCAAATGTGTGGAGAATATTTGGCACCAAGTCAGTATTTAACAGCAACTCTCTAAAAGGTGTCTTTTTGTACCTGGGTACTTCTAGTTATCCATTAGGCTTCAGTGAAAAGTAAAATGCATCATCAGGGCTCCTCCCTGCAGAAGGATTACACTGCCTTAGTGTAATGAACTCAGTCATGGCCATTGTTTTGGCTAATGAGCTATGAATACAGGTGACATTTATCATCTTGGAGGGGGCATCCTAATGAGATTTATCATGGGCCTTTCAGTTTCTCCAGAGAAGGATCCTCTTATATCCTGCTTATCTGGTTGCAACGTTTTTTAGCTCCAGCTGCAGAATGGTGCTGGAGTTCTCACCATTTTATAGATAGACTTAATCTCATTGATTTCAGTATAGCACCATTCCCCTGTCATCTCATTTGCTAAGTGTCTTTGAATATGCAGTGTCTTTGATTAAATTTCTGCAAAGAATGAACTTGCATTTCATATGAAGGAGTGGTTGATCCTTTGTCATCTTTACTGGAAGGGTATGGGTCCAACTGCTTATATCTTTTTTTTAGCCACCGTCCTTCATTTCTTCTTTTGAAATACTTGATTCCCTTCCATTTCCTGAGTCTTTCTGTGATTTTGGCACAAATAACTTAACGTTGGCATCCTCTTCTGTGGTACCTTTACATTATTTGACCTTCCTCAAATAATGCTCTGCTATGCATTGAAAATCTTCCATGTGCTATCTGTTATTGAAAAAGTTGCTAATGTCTGTTGTGTACCAGCGTCTTCTGTATATCCTTTTTTCTTGTGAGTTCATACCATTTTCCCTTTTCTTGTCTTTTCATGGAGTTTTGGGAGGAAGCAGTTGTTGGTTGATCTTTTCCCTTTCTTAGGCTTCCTAGGTAGACTTTCTCATTTTTATGTGTCATCTGTTTATCCTATTGGGAAAATCTTGGTTGCTTGTTATGTAATGTGCTGAATTCTTGAATGGGAAATGTTAATTCTTCAAGAGTAATCCAAGCTTTGTGGACCCATGAATGTTAATTTTCTACCCAGATATCCTCCACAAGGGTTCTCTTCTCACAATTTAGTTGGAAACATTGGTCATATAGATTCTTTCATGCTGGAAGAGGAACTACCAATGTTAATCCCAAAAAAGCACAGTCTGAAATTTTATTGCTCGTAATGGGAAAATTCACAAATAATAGTGATGATAGTATAAAGGTGGTATTTATTGAGTGTTTACCATGATTCTGAGCACTTCATACACTAATTTCTTTAAATGATGATTTTTTGTACTCCATTTTAGAAGAAGCCTGAGAAAATGATGAGCAGATAGAGAGTCAACAAGACTTGGGAGGCAAGTTACATCCATCTCCAATAAAGTACAAACTGGGGAAAAAAGCAGTGAATATAAGAAAATTGGAAATATACTTCCTCTGATCTCAGACATTTCTTTTAAGGCAACACCTGTTTGAAGTTTTGAGTTTGGAACACAATTTAGACTTACTTAATCTTAAGAGAAGTTGTGTAAGAAAGAATAATCAATTTAATAAGTGGAAATCCTTTGCCACAGCTTACTCCTTATGGTAATAACCCCCTATAAGTATAAATCAGTGTGGAAATGCCTCCAGTTTAAAAAGTGTTTGTACCCCATCTGATATCAGACCATTTGCACTGGAGAGAAACCCTATGAATTTACTGAATGTGGGGAAACTTTTTCTCACATGTCACATCTCATTGAACATAGAAACCATGCTGAAGAAAAACCCTATCCTTCTAAGGAATACTGAAAAGCCTTTAGCTAGATGACAAATTTCATTCAGCAGCAGAAAATTCATGCAAGAGAGAAACCAGTGAATGTAGCGAAATTTCATTGAATATTAGAAAATTTATACTGGAGCTTCGAATGTACTGAGTATGATAAAATTTCCTCTCTAACCTTCATCACTTATTCTGCACTTGCATCGCTTATTCTGCACTTGCATCGCTTATTCTGCACTTGCATGGTTGTACACAGAGAAGCCTTATAAATGTAAGAAATGTGTAAATATCTACAGCCAAAAGCAAATCATCATTCATCAAAAAATTCATATTGGAGTAAAACCTTGTGAATGTGGAAAAACTTCCATTCAGATGTCACACCTCAGTCAGCAGAGAATTTATAGTGGGGGAAACCCCTTTGCCTGTAAGGTATGTGGGAAAGTCTTCAGCCACAAATCAAATCTCACTGAGCATGAGAATTTTCATACTAGAGAGAAACCTTTTGAATGTAACGAATGTGGAAAAGCCTTTAGCCAAAAGCAGTATGTCATTAAACATCAGAACACCCATACTGGAGAGAAGCTTTTTGAATGTAATGAATGTGGAAAATCCTTTAGCCAGAAAGAAAACCTCCTCACCCATCAGAAAATTCACACTGGAGAGAAACCTTTTCAGTGTAAAGATTGTGGGAAAGCTTTTATTCAGAAGTCAAACCTCATAAGACACCAGAGAACTCACACAGGAGAGAAGCCCTTTGTGTGTAAGGAGTGTGGGAAAACCTTTAGTGGCAAATCAAACCTTACTGAGCATGAGAAAATTCACATTGGAGAGAAACCCTTTAAATGTAGTGAATGTGGAACAGCTTTTGGCCAGAAGAAGTACCTTATAAAACATCAAAACATTCACACTGGAGAGAAACCCTATGAATGTAATGAATGTGGAAAAGCCTTCTCTCAACGAACATCACTTATTGTACATGTGAGAATTCATTCAGGTGATAAACCTTATGAATGCAATGTCTGTGGAAAAGCCTTCTCCCAGAGTTCATCTCTTACTGTGCATGTGAGAAGCCATACAGGTGAGAAACCCTATGGTTGTAATGAATGTGGGAAAGCTTTCTCTCAATTCTCAACCCTTGCTTTGCATTTGAGAATACATACAGGTAAGAAGCCTTATCAATGTAGCGAATGTGGAAAAGCTTTCAGCCAAAAGTCACACCACATTAGACACCAGAAAATTCATACTCATTAAAAATCTGGAAAATGGGAAAGCTTTCATCAGGAATTTACACCTCATAGTACATTAGAAGTAATCATTTTGTAGCAAAGACCATGAATGAGGTAAACTTTAACAAATGCTAAAAAAAAAAACAAAAAAAAAAACTTATGGGACATCAAGAGAATTCATACTGAAGAGAAAGACATTTGTATGATAAAAAGCCTGTGCCCAACAAAAACTACAGAAAAGAGCAAGGGTAATGCTGAAACTTTAAGACACATTTCCACTAAAATTGGAAACAAAACATGCTTGTTATTATTGCTTTCAGCATAGATCTGGAGATCTTCACTGGTATAAAAAGAAAAATAAGTTTTAAGTATTGGAAAAGAAGAGACAAAAATAGATGATCTGATCATCTACAAATAATATAAAACTCTTATGGTATTGACTCAGCAGAGCAGAAGAGATTCCAGAAAGAGACATATGCACTTATTAGAATTTGGAATATGATAGAAACAGCTTCGGGAGGTGAGGACGTAATGGCACTATGTTTTAAAGTTATTTGGAGGTAATTTGTTCTCCAAGGGAAAAAAAAATAGACCATGAACTATACACAAAAGTAAAATCCACTGGGATTAAAAACAGGAATATGAAAAAGCTATATAAAACGTTTATGACCTTGGGAGTAGGAAGACATTCCATTTAGCCAATTAAAAAAATACTTCAGGAATTTTACTCATGAGTGTGTATACTTGGGAAATATGTACCAGGATATTTAGTATGGCATGATTTGTAGTAGCCAGAAATTGGAGACAACTTAAATATCCATCAGGAACAAAATGGAAAAGTATTATGGTGGAATATTGTATATCTGTAAAATACAACAAATGAGATCCACATGTATTAACAGATTTCAGAAATAATGTCGGGGAAAAATTAAGTTGCAAAATGACATAGTACAATGACATTGTAAATTTGAATTAAAACTTTGCTCACAAAATTTCGTACTATGTATTGGTAATGGATATATATATATATATGTATGTAAATGTTTTTGAAAATGGTTAGAAGGATACAGGCCAAACTCTTGACATTGGTCGCTTGTGAAGAGTGGAGAGGGAAGGGAATGTATGGGAGGTGGGGTGGGGGTTAAAGGGGGCTCAACTTTTTATATAAACATCAATTTCTCTTAAAAAAAAAAAGACTGCAAGTAAAAGTTACTTATATGAAGTTACTGGTTAATTCTGGGTTGTGGCATATGGATATCTTGTCTTATTTTTTGTACTTTTCTGTATTTTTAAAATTTCTCAAAACTAGTAAGAATGGGAGTGAGAATGGAAAGGTTGTTCTCTGTAGAAATCATGTTATAATGGATTCATTCCCAATTAAATACTAAACTTTTTATAGAAAATATTTCTAAAATTTTATCAACAATACATGGATGGACTTGTTCTCTATGTAATAAGAAATTATCTATTTTATTAAAATTAAAAGTTACAGAATACTCCAAATCTGTTTGTTTATTTTAACATGTTATGGGTGTACACTATGATCTCTGTCTATACATTTCTAGCATTTTGGAGCATACCATTTGAGCTCAGAAACTTAAGAACTTCCCATTAAATACGGATACATACTCAGCTTTCATATAATTTGTCTTTTTAGATAAACTGAAGTTTAGGATGTCAGTTTTCCTGTCCTGCAAATTTCCATGGGAAGCAAATATATTAAAAATTAAGTTTATGATAATTTCATTTTAAGAAGAGAGCCATTCAACTTCCTGGAGGTTCCACAATTAAGTGAGCTACTTATCAGTCTTAACCTGCAGACTATTTTTTTCTCCCACTCATTTGACGGACGTACTTTTTTGTTGTTTCTTTTTCAGAGGTAGAAAAAGGATGGGATGGGGATAACAAAAGTGGCTCATACCTTGGACAGGATTCTGTTTTGTAAACCAGTCCTTCCTGAAGATATTTATTTCATACCTCATCACAGTGTAACATCACGTAAAGAGTTGTTAAAGGTTTTCTTGAATAATAGTGAATGTCAACAATATACACCATTTGAGCATAATTTCAAAACTCTCTTTTAAAAAAATCTTAAACTCAGTTAAATGCCACTGCATCACTGTATCTTTTACTAGCCTTTTTGGAGAAATGATCATGAGTTATATACTTAAATATCTAAATGAATCTTTGTCCTTTCTTTTTTTTTTTTTTTCCTTTTTGTCTTTTTCGTGACCGGCAACGGATCGCAACCCTCAGTGTCATGCCCGGACCGGGACCGGCAATGGGATCGCAACCCTCGGTGCTGCGCCCCGCACCTCGCTCAGCCAGTGAGCGGCTGGTCTGCATGTGGGATCCAAACCCTCGGCGGGAGCGCTGCCGCACTCTCAAGCGGCGCACTGTAGCAGTGCGCCACCGGGCTGGCCCAGTCTTTGTCCTTTCTAATGTTAAGTCACCCATCACCTTTTTCTCTGCTTTCCCTCCTTGACTGCATATACATATATATACATATTTTAAAGGTGTTCTCTATTTACAGTACTATGAAACAACACAAGTTATTTATGAAAAACCTGGCTTTGGCATTTTGCTGTTTACCAGTGATGAGTAACAAATGTTAAACATGTCATACAGGGCAATAAACCTGGCATTTATTTAGCTCAACTCTTCCCCTATAGTGTTTTCATCTAAATTAGTGGTTCTTAGACTTCAGTGCACATTAGAATCACCAAGAGGGCTTGGTGGTGGGCCCTACCTCCTGAGATTCTGATTCAGTAAGATGGGTGGGGGCTGAGAATTTGCATGTCTAACAAGTTTCTGGATGATGCTGGTGCTGCTATATCAGGGGCCACTGAAAACTGCTGATCTCACAGGACAGCTTTATTGGATAGTATGCATCTGGTTATATCCCTATTTTACAACTAGAAAAACATGAGAGGTAAGTAACAAACTCCACATCTACTTAGTGGGAGAAACTACAGCAAGTTATGACTTCTTAAGATATTCTCTATAATAGAGGGGAGAGCAAACTCTTGCAAACTTTTGACAAATATTTGCCTACTGACTATATGCCAGACATTAGATATATAATGAATACCAAAACAGGTAATGCTGCTTCCCTCCTGAAATCTCACTAGGGCTCTAGTGTGTAGTGGAGGGAGGTTAAATTTTTCATTTTGTGATAAATATGAAAGAAAACACTAGTAAGAAAGGGATAAGTGTTACGGGATGTGGGTGAAGATACAGGCATGAACCATATGATATACAGATCATAGGCCATTGGGACAAAGGACTTTGATTTTATTCTTAAGTGCTATTAGAATCCATCGAAGGGGCGGGCCGGCCCATGGCTCACTCGGGAGTACAGTGCTGATAACACCAAGGCCACAGGTTCGGATCCTATATAGGGATGGCCGGTTGGCTCACTAGCTGAGTGTGGTGTTGACAACACCAAGCCAAGGGTTGAGATCCCCTTACCGGTCATCTTTAAAAAAAAAAAAAAAAATCCATCAAAGGGGGCTTAAGTGTGGCAGGGAAATGTTTGACGTCGAAAAGATCACTTGATGCTTTGTGAAGAGTATTGAAGTGGGAGCAGGAGTAGAGGCAGTGATGATTTAAGAGGGTGAATCACTAAAGCAAGGTGATACCAGCTAGGACAGAGATGCTGTACTGAAGACAGGTAGAAATGGATAGTTTGGAAATTTATTTTGGAGGTGAGCTGACGGGACTTGCTTAGGTGCATGATTACAGTAAAGGAGGCATCCAGGATGATGTCAGCCTTTTTTTTTTTTTTTTTCCTTTTTTGTCTTTTTTACTGACCGGTAACGGGATCGCAACCCTTGGTGTCGTGCCCACACCACGCTCAGCCAGTGAGCGGGAACCGGTCTCCACATGGGATCCGAACCCTCTGCGGGAGCGCTGCCGCGCTCTCAAGCGGCGCACTCTCCAGTGCGCCACTGGGCCAGCCCTGTAGTATACATTTTTAATCACACTCTATCTTTTTTTTTTTTTAAAGATGACCT